ATTGTGGGACTGAACTCTCTTCCTTGCTTGCTATCAGCCAAGTGCTGGTCTTGGCACTTAGAAGCTGCCTTTCCCCTTTTTGTTTTCATGCTATGAGCTAGAGGCCTCTGTAGTGCTTACGTGTGGGCCTCTGTATCAGAGCCAGCAACCATGCATTCCTCTCATACTTTGAATCTTTCGTATTTTCTCCTCTGTTATATCATTTCTGTGCTTTCACTTCTGGCCAGACAGTTCTCTACTTTTATAGGTTCACATGATTTGATTGAACTTACTCAGATAATCTAGGATAATCTGTTTTACAGTCTGCACCTTAATTATACCTGCAAAGTTCTTTTTGCCAGTACCATGACATATTCACAGATTCTGGAGATTGAAGTATGAACATCTTTGGCGACCATCATTCTGCCTACAGCATGCTGATAAAAAGCTTGAAATCTGGTTGAGAGATAGACAAGTAAAGGTAAAACCAAATTGAAGGGTTAGAAATGCTATAATAGTAGTTGATACCATATACAGTGGGAGAACAAAGGAAGAAAAGAGTCAGCGTTACTGAGAGATAGACATCTGAGTTGAATACAGAAAGATGAGTCCTTGTTTGGTTAAGTGGCTGGGGCAGCATTTCAGGAAGAAGCAATAGTAATAGTGATAGCAATAATAACTGGCTATTCCAAGCATTTTTACAGGATTATCTCACTGAATTCTCACATATGGTAGATACCATTATTACCTACCATTAGAGCATCTACAGATGAAGCTAGTATGCCTTCTCCATGGCGAGAGTAGAAATGGTAAAATCTCATTGGGTAGTTGAAAGAATTAACATTGATTACGCAAAGCTAAAGCGTAGTGTATAGCAAGAACTTAAAGCATGGTAGGTGAAAGAGTAGAGGGTAGATAAGAGAAATACTTAGGAAGTAGAACTGACCGGACTTGGTCACTGGCTGTGAAGGTAGGGGACAGGAAATTCAGAGTGACTTGGGCGCTTTTTGGTTTGGGGCGTTCCAAGGACCAGTAGTGTTATTCAGTACTGTAGGGGGAGAAACAAGGTTTTGTTTTGTTTTTAGTAGGGACAGGGCTTTGGGAATAGGAAGGGATGAATTCAGGAGGGATCCATGGGAATATTCAATTGAAATTAAAAGGAGACCTACTTAGTATATCATGCCCTCAGGAGAGGTCAGAGATGACCGTTGTCACTATTACTCCACATGTATCAAGTCTGAAATGGGATTTACCATCTTCTTCTCAAACTGGGTCGCCATCTTAACTCCCCTGTTTTTTCTTGTCATTCTTTTATTTTCCCAAGCTTGACATCTTTTTTTCATCCTTGACTCCCAGTTTTCTGGAGTCGAGGGGAAAAAGCCTTGTTACAGTGTTTGCAGATTTCCGTGGTGTAAAAGCACGCCCCGTGGCCCATTTCAGGTGGTGGCTGCTGTTGCGCTACAGTGGCGGAGTTGAATTGCTGCAACAGAGACTACATGAGCCTGCAAAGCCTCAAATATTTACCATCTGGATATTTAGAGAAAAAGTTTGCCAACTTCTGATATAGTGTCTCCGATATAATAAAATATTAACATGTAGGATAATTCTGTATGTCTGTTTACTCCTTCTATTCATCAAGATTGGGTGGGGAAAATGGGTAGTTTGATGGGGCAATGTGTGAGATCATAAAGGGTCTTGAGGTTATTTTTTGGATTTTCTCTGAATGAGAGGAGTGACATGATCTACCTTTATTTTAAAAAGAAAACCCAGGCTGCTATTTTGAGAGTAGACCATAGGGCAGCAAAGATGGAAGCAGAGAGAGCTACTGGGAGGCTGTTATTATAATACAGGCGAGTCTTTGTTGGAATCAGGGTAATAGCTGTGGAAATATTAAGGTGAGTTTTGGATACATTTTGAAGATAGAGCTGACAAGATTTGCTGTTGGAAAAAGAGGAGTTAAGGATGAGTCCAGAATGGAGAAATAGTTAATACAAGAATGCCTTAGGCTGGAGCCTGAGTTGTTGACATCACATTATAGCGAGTTGTTAAATAAGGAGTTTTAGGAAGAAAATCAAGACTTTATCAATTCCTGTAATTTTTTTTTTTAAATTCTTAACCATAAATGTTTCCTTTACTTATAAGAAACAATTTAAAATAAATCTAGGAAACATAGTAATGTTTCTAAAATATGGCATTTTTAGAAAAGGAAACCATAATAACCTCACCTTAGATAAGACTCTTTTAACCTTGTGATTTGGTGGCTTTAAAAAAACATATATTCAGAAATTAACAATCTTGGCAGTTGATTTCAACACTTCTCCCCAAATTCTTAAAGTATAATTTTTAAAAGTTATGAGTTAATTTTCAGTGTATCATGAATAAATTATTACTTATATCTTTTATGTAGGTTTTACTTGTAATGGACTCAAGGACAGAACAGACATTCATTTTAAAAGTAAGTGGAGTTTGTTCAATGAGTTTAGAAATCTATTTTCAAATTATGCTTCTGAAAGAAAAAATATTTAATATTTTTTTCCTGGGGTGTTTGAATGTTCTTTTATGTGTGATGATTTATATTTATTTATTTTTTCTCCCATCACTGTTGATAAATACTCTATAACATACATTTGAAGAGCATTTTAGATAAGAGAATATGGAGGACATAATACAGATAAGTCGAAGACTTATTTCATGCTATTCAGATGTATAGTGTATAGTTTAAACACATCTCTAATACATTTTGTATACTTTATGAAGACCACAGCCTCACCTTTAATTGTGATTACAGTTCTTAAGTGCTTAAATTTTGCCTTAAAGTCTTTGTTACAGGTATTTGAGAAATGTTGTCAATATCCCTGGTCCTCTTTTTGATCTAAATTCAGTTTGAGTCTCCATATGACCCAATTTGTAGTTAAATGAAAAAATGAAGCCCCCTCAATTTTAAAATTTTGAAATTGTATTTGAAGTAGATTGTGACGGTACATATTCTAAAAATATCCCAATTTAAGCATTTCCAAAGCATCCAGAATTAAATCAATTTTAGATTAATTTTATATTTCTTTTTCTGATACCTTTGCTTTTACTTATCAGTCTGGCAGTAGGTCACATTGACATATACTGAAACAAATTTCTTTTTATGAGCATACCTTTTAAACAAAGGTATGACATCAGAAACTATACACACTATTTCTAAAGAGAAAACTTAATCTTTGTACTTTGGGAGAATAGAATTTTTAAATTGCCTGTTTAATCTAGGAATACCTTTTGTAGCTCAAGAATTTGAATTGATTTCACAATGTCGGCTGCTTTAAAGATATACACAAGTAAAATAAAACTTAAGAAAAGGTCATAGAGAAATAACTGTGTGTCATCCTGATGACTTAGTTTGAGAGCATCTCTAATAAAAACACTGACCCACGTAATTGATTTTAATGGCAGCTTTGTGGCATCTTCTGTTCTCTGGATTCATGCCAGATGCCATCAGCAGAGCCTCCAGGGACTGAGGGGCATAGAGCAGCAGATGAGTGGTTTCTCTGAAGCCCAGAGTAGCTCGGATAGATTAGTTTGGTTGATAAACACAGAGCACAGCAGGCTCCAAAGGCAACTGAGGGTACAACTGACCTTTTTGTTCTCTGTCAGGGTCTAAGGAAAAGCAGTGAATACAGCAGGAACAGAAAGACCATCATCCCCCGCTGCGTGCCCAACATGGTGTGTCTGCACAAGTACATCATTTCTGAGGAGTCGGTATTTCTTGTGCTGCAGCATGCAGAAGGTTGGTTTGTACTTTAAATTGTTTATCTAACAGAGAATATCGCCTGCTTAGCTTTTTAGTTTTTAGAACGCCCTTCTTCTGTCATTACATGAACAGAAAAAACATACGAAACACATGTAAGAAACTGTTTCCTTATTCCTCTGCTCTCCCTCCCTACTTTCAGTTGGGAGGGAGAATGAAAACCCAGTTGAGCAGCAGATTTCTGTTGAACTACAGCAACATTCTTAGATGTATTTAACTACTTACTTTCTCCTAGAATTGATCTGAAAGGATGGGAACTTTCAGGTGGAATGGGTGCTAAGAGAGCCAGGTTTTATTTTAGAGATTTTATTTCGTTCTCTTGTTCTCTGCTAAATGGATACATGAATGTTAGATGACTGAAATAAAAAGCATCCCCCGAGGAATTAATTAATTACTTACTTTTTTAGGAGGCTTGGGTATTTGCTTGACATTTGACATGACCTAGTTATTCTAATCTGGGTTTTTAAGAATACAGCCATTGGCATCACATATGGGTACAAAGCAGAAGCATGGTACTCTGCCTTCAAACTATTTATGAAATTTCAGCTCTTAATAGAGGGAACAGGTGGCAAAAAATACTGTGTTTTGATTTGTTTTTGCCCTTTAATGCCTGAATTTAAATAATAAATCGTCTTTTATTTAGAATGACTGAATATAGCATATAAATATAAATCCACATAATAAATAATTGCCTTTTGGCTTTTAAGAGGTGTTCTCAAAATAGTGAAAAAAATTAAATTATTTTTCATATTTCATGAAGGTGTTATTTTTACATTACTAAGAGTAAAGAACTATTGTGCTTTACTAATAGGCATAACATTTGAATATAATGCATTTTCCTAGGAAAGTGAATCATTGCTTTGTGGAATGAAGTCTCTTATGATTACTAATGCAAAATTTTTGACGGGGGCAATAAACTATTAATATTGTTTATTATGAAGTACAGTACAAGATAACTACAGATGGAGGGAAGACCTCCATATGTGGTATTTAATAGGAAATTCAGAAGGGGCTCCCTGGTCTCTCAGGTATTAAGAGAGTTAATTGCGTGTGTGAATTGGATAACTAATTCACCTTTGTTCAGACATTATAGACAGCTTTTATCTGAAGATACCAGTGCATTACAGACATTATTGAATTAGAGGTCATGTCATCTGATAGCGGAATACAGCCACCTCTGGTGTGGAACAAAAATAACTTGCATAGTAATAATCCATAATAATTTAGAACAAGGTCAGTAGGATGAATGTAATTATAGTCAATATTCTATTACCCAGGGTGGATTATTCATGTTGGAGATTATCTGTGGCAGATTTTCAATCCTAGTTTACTTCGGCAATTTGCAGCTTCCTCTTCCTATTTTTCTCTACCTTCCCCAAATTATACTTTAGTTTTTCTTCTGCCATCTTCTCACTTTTTCTTACACTCCCTAAGGCTGATATTTCACCTAAATTTACTTCAGTACTATAGAAAGTCTTTATAATCTCTCTTAACAACATAGACATGTGGCTTTCAAATTTCCCACTGTTTCAAATTATCTTTACCAGGTCTCTTTTCCTTTATTATTGACCACTTCTGATTTTGAATGGTCACATGACCATAGAATTTTTCCTGGATTATTTAAACTTTGGGGAGGGAGACGATCTCTTGACTGTGTGTTTCAGATGTCTGTTGTTTAATGTTAAGATTTTACAATGCAAAGATATTAAATTATAGTGCCATTAGGGACTCTGGATTCATTTAATATTCAACAAATTTGTTGAGCATGTAGTATGTACTAGACTCTCTTTTAGATGAACAAGACAGGAAAAGAGTCTGCCCCTTTAAAACTTCTATACTGTGAAGAATCAAACAGGAAAAATTAGACAGTAATAGATAACAGTAGGGACTATACTGATCTTCCACACAGCTCTAATAGATGATGACTGGGGGACTACTTTACATAGTTGAGTAAGTCCCCTCTGAGAAGGTAGCATTTAAAAGAAGTTCTGAATGACCGAAGAAATAACCATTTGGATGTAAGGGGAAGCACATTCCAGGTACAGGGATTAGTGTAAGAAATTGAAGGCAAAACACACTTGGAATTTTGAGGAAAAAGAAAGGAGACCATCTGGTTGGAGTGTAGCAGGTGACACAATAGTGGAATATGAGGCTATTGGAGAAGCAGGTGGGATCCTTCTACGGCAGAGTGAGGACTTGGGCTTTTATTCAAGTGCATTAGGAAACCATTGGACATCTGAAACATTGACAAGATCTGATTTACATTTTGAAAAGATCGCTCTGGCCATTATATGGGGAATGTATTATAGAAAGACAAGAATAGAAACGGTGAGAGGGCTAGTAAATCATCTAGGCAAGAGATGATGATGGCATGGCTTTCTGGGGTACCAGCAGAGATTCTCTGAGGGTAGAGTCCATGGGACCTGTGATGGAATAGAGATTTGGGAGAGAAGAATCTAGGGTAATGTCTTGGATTTGGCTTGACAGTCATGTGAACTGAATGATGGACAGTGTGTTATCTTTTACATGTTAGTGGTACTTTGTTACCTCTGTGAATTAGGATATTGTGCATATATCATCAAAACATCACTTTCATGTGTGAGATAAACTATTACTGAAAAGATAAATATTGTGAACAATTATTTTTTTTCATAATGTGAATGCTTAAATATTTATCATTTATGGTTTTAGCTTCCCTCTCCTTACAAAGCTATTCATGATTGACATGAGTCTCGGACTCATTTTCTTTCCATTTTTAGTTCTTTCAGTCAGAAATGTATTGAGTGCTTACTGGGATACAGGCTTAGTTCTAACGTGGCAGTGAACAAAAAAGACCAAGACTGACTCTGCCCACATGGCGCTTACGTTATCGAGGCAGAACAGACAATAAGCAAACACATGAGTAAATATATGTCAGATGGAGATAAATAAAAGAAGGAAGAAGGAAATGCTAAAAGAGTGAGGTAGGGGTTACTATTTTATATAGAGTGGTTACCTTATTAAGAAGAGATATTTGGCCAGTGACTTGAAGGAAGTGAAAGAGCAGTGTGGATATGCGAGGGAAGAATGTCTTGGCGAGAGGAAACAAGTACGTAGACCGGAGGCAAGAGTGTACTTGGTGCACAAGAAACAGCAAGGTCAGTGTGGCTGGAGCAGAACGGGAAGAGTGGCTAAAAATGAACTGAGAGACGTGGGGAGGCAGGTGGGCAGATCCTGAGGGGTCTTGTAGGCCACGTTAAGAACTTGAATTTTAGTCTAAATAGGTAGGAAGTCATTATGGGGCATTGAGCAGAAGAGTGACAAGATAGGTATCCCTCTGGCTGCTTCATGGAAAATAGAATATGGGGAGGGGGCCGCAAAGGCAAAAGCAGGACACCAGTTTGGAAGATGTTGCAGCAGTCCAGGTGACAGTGATGGGTCCTGGGCAAAGTGTTGGTGGTGGAGGTGGTTGGAAATGGGTATTAGATTCTGAATGTATTTTGAGAATAGAAGTGACATGATTCTATCTTGCCTTACTCCAAGGATTTTGCTCAAATGACTGAAAAGAATGGAGTTTCCATTTACTAAGATAGGGAAAGCCGTGGCAGGGGTAGATTTAGAGGGAGCAAGCAGAGATTTGGTTTTGGACATGTGAGTTTGAGATGCTTATTAAATCTAGGTGGTGTTGAGTAGGCAGGTGGATATACCAGACAAGATTTTGGGAGAGAGGTTTAAAATGTTCATTGTTTCTGCTAATGAATCTCTTTTATTTTAACTCTGAGGAAGAAAAAGTGAGAAAATAATTGTATTCAGTCAAGGCCATGAGTGTTATAAAAACTTAAAAAATTTTTAAGATTAAGGATTATGTCACATTCATTATACATATCCCAGCATTTAGCAGAATGCTTAGTACATAGAAGTCCTCGGTCTGTAATCGTTGAATATATTGAGCAGAGAAAAGCTGAATGACTAGGTTAGACGAAAATGATTGGAAAAGCCTCCGACACACCAAGTAGATGAGGAATGGGAAAGAATTTCTCCCCAAGTTATTTGGAGGACCCAAGGGGTGAAATGATTCTCCTTTTAATAACTAGTTTAAAAAATTATAAAACTAACATATAAAGAAATCAATTTGAACTGTATAGAAGTGTACAAATTAAAATGAAAATTCCCCTTCTCTATTCACTTTGAGTGCCCAGTTCCATTCTGTAGAAATAGAAGGAAAATTTCCTATGTATGTAGGAAATATACCCCCTACCTGTTTGCTTTTAAAAAAAACATAAATGGATCTTACATATTGTTCTGTAGCTTGTTTTTTCCCCCCATCTTAACAGTGTAACTTGGACAGCTTTCTTTTTTTCTCTCTGTATGTCTGCATTAAGAGAGACAATGTAGTGTGGATTCTGGAGCCAAACTGGCTCATCATTTTCTAGTTGTGTGACCTTGTTACTGAAGTTACTAAATTAACCTCTTTGTGCCTGTTTCTTTATTTGTAAACTGGGAAAGGTAATAATTATCTACTTCATAGGATTGATGTGAGCATTAAATAGTTGGTATCAGCGTAAAACATTCATAATAGGGCCTGGTACATGGTAAACAGTATGTAAGTATTTGCAAATATTGCTATAATTTTTTTGAATAGGTACACAGTATTTGATTGTACAGGTTTACCATAATTTAACTCTTCCTCTATTAATTGGTGTTTAAATCGTTTCTAGTGCTTTTACCTATATGGCTGTGTGTATTTTTGTTTAGTCTTTTCCAGAACTATTTGTAGGACAGATTTATTGAAGTAGAATTTTGCTGGGTCGAAAGATGATTTTGATTATTGGTTCAACAGTATTTTATCATATATATTAATTTAAAGTCCTAATTCTGGTTAAATAAACTTAACAGATTTTCTTTGCCATCTTTCAGAAAACCAATAGTTTAAAATCTGATGAGAGATAGTTTTTATTAAGCCTTATGAGTTGATATTTTCATAGTTTAAAATAGCTAATGTCTACAATTTTGGATGCTTCAGTAGGACTTAGAAAGGTGTCATTTATATTCCTAAAGTGTTAAATATCTTAACTATGTTAGGTATTTTCTATTTATATTTTGTGGTGTAGTGATAACAGGTTTTTTTTAAAGGTTAATGTTATAGTAGTAAAGTTGACCTTTGTGTAAGTTTGTCTGTTGGGCCTGATCTTAACTCTGTAGAAAGTAGAACCTATTCAGTTTTCGTGGGTGAGAAACATCAGTGGGAATAATGTGTTCTTGTAAGTTATGTGGCTTTCATGATTTTGTAATTAAAAAAAAAAAAAAGGATGTAATAGGACCAAGATTTTTGTTTCTGTAGCTCTGTGTTAAGCATTAAATTTAACTGGACACCCAGCAAAGAATGGAGAAGAGCTAAAACAGTTTAGTTATTGCTTCAATATGCAGAGTTTTTTTATAATTCGGTTTGGGTACTTGTTTAGGTGAAGAACAAATTTTATTTAAAAAGTGCCAACAATCCCATTTAGAAATTTTATCTAATAATGAAAAGAGTGACAATGAAATAAGATGCTATATTTGAATAATGAAATTGGTAAACTTGCAAATATTCAGTATTAGCAAGTTGCTGTGAAGATGGGACCAAGGCACATTAGGAGTGGACTCTGGGACAGTCTTTCTGTAAAGAATTAAAAATATCCATGCTTCTTGATGTAGTTCTTAATCATTTCTGGGATTCTGCCCTAATGAAATAATCAGAAATGTCAAGTATTGTACGTAAAAGTATGTGTTATTTTAATTCTTATAGTAAAAGACTGGAGTATCTTAAGTGTCCATCAATAGAGGAATATTTAAATACATCATATCTATCACATGGATGTGCTATAAGCTATTCCAGTTTGTATTCTCATGAATATTGGAAAATGTTTGATATGATGTTGTGCATAAAAAACCTTAAAATAAATGTACTAATAGTTAATAGTGGTTATGGGTAATTTATATTCAGAATCTTTTATTTTCCTTCTTCTTTTCTGTATTTATATTATTTTTACAACAAAGCCGTATTTGTATTAAAGTAGGAAGAAAGCATGACCAAAAATAATGATATTATTATTTATAGACCCCTTTCCTTGAAAGGTTTTCAAAGAATTTGTAAAGATGCCATCTTTTTATAACCCAACATAATACATATTTACTTAATACTTATTATTTTACATGCTAGACCGAATTCTCTTTATGTAGTTATGAAGACCCTGCAGTCTAGTAAAGGAGATAATAAAGCATAAAAACAATATTGATATGAAATAGAATGTCGTAAATGTCATAAGAGTGACGAAGTAATATAGAGGATTCATAGAAGGTAGGAACTGTATCCAGTGAGGGGCTACAAAAAACAAAAAAAATTCTGAAGGGCCTTTGGTAATGGATAGGATTTTGACAAGTAGATATTGGGAAACTAATAGGAAAAAAACTTCTAAGTGGTAGGTGTGGTTTGAACAAAGGTCAAGTATGGGTTATATGGAGAGAAATCCAATTCAGATGAATTATGTGGTGAGTTGAGGGAGAGGACCAAATCATGGATTGATACTGTATTACTGAGGGGTTCAAATGCCTTTATGTAGTTGGTACATCATTCAGTAGGTGGAAGGGATTTGGGTTCTTGAAGAGAAAAATGACATCATAATCTCTGTGCTGAAAAGGAGGATTAATTGGGCAGCAGTTAGTGTGGTAGAGTAATACAGGAAGGACTTAGCGTAGAGATCTAGTTGTAGCTATAATGTTATTCCAAGAAACAGTGGTCAAAGGAATTAAGAGGAAGACTATGAGAAACATTATGCGTAGATCTTATAAGATTTGGAACATGTCAGATGTAGACAGAACAGGGAGAGAAAATAATCCAAGTTCAGTCCAAAGCTTTTATGCCAGAGTGCTTGGAAGTCAGAAAGAGGAAGTGATTTGGGGGACAAAAATGAAGAATTTAAGCATATAATGAATTTTAGATTTTAGTAGCTGATCCAGGTGGAATTGGCCTAAGAATGAATAAAACTTTTCTTAGAACTTTACTAGATACTGTTTCTTGCTGGTCACCAGATCTTTACAGCTGTAATCTTTACATACTGGGTCCACTTTGTGATGGCACGTTTCATTCTGATGAATTATTGACTAAATGCCTGTCATGTCCTGCATACTGTGTAGGCTGTAGGTAAACAAAGATAAAGAAGACTTGGTTCTGTCCTCACAGTGGTCACCATCTAGGAGAACTGAAAACAACATGCATCTTTTTTTTTTGGCTTGCTTACAGGAGCATCAACTTCAGGTTTAGGCATTATTGTTACTATGCCACAATAGTGGTATTTGTGATAAAAGGAGTGTGAGTACTGTTGTCAAAAGACTAAAAGAAGACGAAATCAATGCAGAGCTCTTTTTTTGAATGAGTGAGTTTCAAAGCCATATATGAATTATTAAACTTTAGTTAATATGGGAAAATATTAAACACTAAGTATAATCTAGTGAGGACAGAAAGCTAAGAAACAATGAGAGGGAAGATTAAAAGACAATATTCTATACCACTAATTGTTATCAAAATGGAAGACGGCCGTTAACTAGATCACTGGTAGAAGAGATGTACGAGTAACCTAGGGTTAATATGACAGTTACCCTTTATTGAGCAGTTACTCTATGCTAGGCGTAGTATCGGGTACTTGTTTGTATTTATTGAGTTCCTCTACATGAAATGAAATACAAAGTAGAGAAAGATTTTTCGGATGCTTTCATTGACCTTCTTTCACGTGTAATTGACTGTCAGTTATTATTTTACATATGATTGGTGCGTGATGCTTAATGACAGAATTAAAAAGTGCTGAAAAAGTTGCCTTCGTATTAATAGAGGGATTTGTTTTTAACACATTATTTCTAATTTTTGGAAGCTACAGTTACATCTTCAAAATATACTTCTGTAATTACTGTCAAGGTTTTTAGATCAAATTGAACTTTTCTCTTGTGATACTGTTTCTAGGCAGCAGAGCTTTGGTAGGTTTTTTGATACTTATCATAGTTTATTTATTCAAAGATTCTAATTAGCAAAAGAGGTTTAGTTTTTAATGATTAAAACAAAACAAAAGAATAATTAGGTGAAATAACTACCTAAGAAATATTGCTAGTAAAGCATTGGATTATTTTGTGTTTGATTTCTATGATTTCTGTGAAATTGACTTTTACGATTTTGGATTTTATAGGTTTCTGATATCTATCAGAATATAGAATCAGAATTAATGGCTGCCCAATTCATATTTCTCAATTACATGTGGTCTCATACCACACATAATGTGTATGTGGAGGGGAGAAAATGGGGAAAAAATATTATTAATATGTCATTTATAATGGCATAATTATATACCAGATGCCAAATCTCCCCTCTAATCCTGGATGGGGCATTTTCAAAATGGAATAATGTTGATTTTTTTCCCAGTGAAATATACAATTTTAAGCAGCACTTATTTATGGATTTCCACTTGACCAAGGGGCCATGCTTGAAAAAATTATTACATAAACAAATCAGAGCATAATCAGATGTTTCTAAAGCTAAATTATATTTTAACTTTAAAGTAGAAATTCAGCTGTGAGATTTCATATTAGTATTTGTTATAACTAATTTCCCTTCAAAGGAAGAAATAGGTTGTCGTTTCAAAAATAATTGATATTAGGAGATGTGCTTGAAACTGTACTCACCAGTCAGCAATAACAAGAAGGTATTTTATGAAAATTCTTGTCTTAGAGCAAACTTGATGTATTAATGGGTATCATTGACTAGCTCTTGATTGATTCTTAGTATACTTTTTGTTTTTCTAATGGCTTCAATAAAGAACCATTAATTTGGGGATCTTAAATTTGTTTTTGTTTTTGGTTATATTTGTTCACAGGTGGCAAACTCTGGTCATATATCAGTAAATTTCTAAACAGAAGTCCTGAAGGAAGCTTTGACATTGAGGAAGTGAAAAAATCTGCACTTACTAAAGTTCACCTGCAACAGCCAACATCTAGTCCTCAGGACAGCAGCAGCTTTGAATCCAGAGGAAGTGATGGTGGAACCATGCTTAAAGTTCTGCCATTGAAGACGAGTCTTACTCAGAGCTCTCAAGATGAGAGCAACCAAGATGATGATGGCCAAGATAGCTCTCCAAAATGGCCAGATTCTGGCTCAAGTTCAGAAGAAGAATGTACTACTAGTTATTTAACATTATGCAATGAATATGGGCAGGAAAAGATTGAACCAGGGTCATTGAATGAGGAGCCTTTCATGAAGACTGAAAAGAATAATGCTGATACCAAAGCTATTGAAAGCATCCCAGCCCACCTTGCTGCTGGCAGTGACAGCCCCAGCACACAGCCGATAGCTTATGAGCGGAAGTTCTTCCCTGGAAACGATGACCTGGAAGCAGTTAGTTCTCCAAGAACATCAGATTCCCTCAGTAGATCTAAAAACAGCCCCATGGAATTCTTTAGGATAGACAGTAAGGATAGTACTAGTGAAATCCTAGGACTTGATTTTGGAGAAAAAATGTATAGCCTAAAGTCAGAACCTTTGAAACCATTTTTTACTCTTTCAGATGGAGACAATATTTCCAGGAGTTTTAATATTAGTGAAAGCAAGGTTATAGCTCAGGACACCATTAGCAGGGGATCAGATGACTCTGTCCCAGTTATTTCTTTTAAAGATGCTGCTTTTGATGATGTCAGTGGTACTGACGAAGGAAGGCCCGATCTTCTTGTAAATCTGCCTGGTGAATTGGAGCCAACAAAAGAAGGTGCAGCAATGGGACCTACTAAGTTTACACAGACTAATGTAGGCATAATAGAAAGTAAACTATTGGAAGCCCCTGATGTTTTATGTCTCAGGCTCAGTACTGAACAGTGCCAAGCTGAAGAAGAAAAAGGCTCAGAGGAATCGAGTGACCCTTCTAGGCTTAAATCCCATAGTATAACAGAGAAACACTATGTACAGAGGGATCTGGGGATGTTATTTATATCGACTGTTGATCATAGTAGTTCAGGAACCACGTCTTTGTTACACAGCTCAGATCCTGACTTTCAAGGACTTGGAGTGGTTGAGTCAGCTGTAACTGCGAACAATACAGAAGAAAGCTTACTTCCTATTTCTGACCCACTCTCAGGTGCTAATGCTAATGAATGTAATGCAAACACAGACACTTTAATGACTGAAGAAGTATTGCTGTTTACAGATCAAACGGACGAAGAGGAACCGATTTTATTTCGGAGAGACTCTGTGACTAAGGGAGAGAGTGGGTTAGCACTAGAAGGAGACAAGGAAATACATCAGATTTTTGAGGACCTTGATAAAAAATTAGCACTAAACTCCAGGTTTTACATCCCAGAGGGCTGCATTCAAAGATGGGCAGCTGAAATGGTGGTAGCCCTTGATGCTTTACATAGAGAGGGAATTGTGTGCCGCGATTTGAACCCAAACAACATCTTATTGAATGATAGAGGTCAGGAACTTTTGCAAATGCATTTCTTTTTATTCGCCGTTGCTTCCAATTAACTGAGTAGGCGTTTTATCTTGTAATTAGTATCTTCATTTCCTGTCTAGAGCTTCATTATCAGTGCAGCAAATTCACCCCCAGTAATAGCTTCTAGTACTTAATGATGCCATTATTCTTAATGATACTGTTTTTAGCTACAAAAGGAGTAATTACAGTTCACTTCTGCAGAAAATGGAAGAGAAAAATGTTTTGATTTCTCCTGTCGTTTTGTTTTTAGGACACATTCAGCTAACGTATTTTAGCAGGTGGAGTGAGGTTGAAGATTCCTGTGACAGCGATGCCATAGAGAGAATGTACTGTGCCCCAGGTTAGCACGATCTCCTACAATATCTCACTTAAAAAAGTAGTTCAGAGGCTCTCATTTCTTTATAGAAGTTGTATTTTTCACTACCAGTTCACGTACTTGTTGGATTTGGTTATCTCTGACTTTCAAAAAAGAAAATTGGGTTATAAAACCATTACATATAGTCCATAGCTGTGTGTGTGTATACATATTTGTTGTTAAACGAATGCATTTGTACTTCGTGTAGGACTGGCAGTGAATTCTTAGAAATGTCTTAACTTAGTGTTTACCCTGAACCTCTTTAAATGGATGATTTTTATTAAGATGTGAGAAGTAGTTGGCTAAAAGGGCGAAATTCCTAAGGCTATAAAAGTGGGTAAAATGGAGAATTAAAAAAAAAAAACAAACAAATTCGTGACTTCAGTGATGAGCCAAGCTGGCATTTTAGAGCAGATTTTAAAGCCTTTCTATATTTGAGAAATTTGAGGAAGCCTGTTCTTCTTATTCAGAAATGGCCTAGTTAGTCAAATATTTGACACAATAGGTTTCTCTTGCTCTTACTGTATTTTTATTTTTTAAAAATTAGAAATATTTCTTTTGTTGATAATTACAGATCGCCTAAGCATGTGAATTGGGTTTGAGTTAGTTTCTTTCTGTCATCAGTGCAGATAGGGCTTTATTTGAATCCAAAGTTTGTTCACCTTTTGCCTGGCAGTCAGCCTCATTGGATGGCCAAAGTTTCTTCACTTGTCACCCCACTGGCTTTCAAAGGAGGTTCAAGCTGATTATATTGACATGATCTGCTTAGTTGTTGATTAATACAGTATTTAATGCTTACTAGCAAACCAGTGTATTATTGATGCTAACATTGTTTCCCTGCATAATGGGAAATGATTATAATTAGGATTGAAAGAGCTATATTGTTTTAGTTACAGCCTTCATTGTTAAGAATAATTTCTCTATTGGGGAATCGCGAAGTTTTTTCAACCTGCAAAGCAAATATCCTAAAACTATTTCCTGAAAACAGTGATTTGGATTTTCTTCTTACTGTTGTTCTCTTTCTTTCCTGTTCTTCCCCTAAATTAGGGCTGTTTGTTTTTATGTCTTTTCAGGGACAATAGAGCATGCCTACATTTTTGGTTTTTCTCAAATAGATGATATTTAATGCTATTTTTTGAAACCTTATTAGTGTGATTTAGTTAATGGGATAACAAAAAAAATTTTCATAGTAAAATCACTTTATTATGGTTATCTGGTTTTGTTTTGTTTTGTTTTTTTGTTTTTCGGGTAAAACAGATTTTCCCTTTTCTAATTTGATAAAAAATAACATTTTAGGTACCAGTATACAAAAATATATGTGTTAATTACAATGAATTTGGAGGTTTTAGAATCAAAATTAAATATAGGAAGTTTTTTTAAGTCAAATCCTGTGAAATCCTGAAGTCAAGTGCAGTATCAACCTCACATCAAAACCAAATATTTGCAGGGCTTCTTCAATGTTTATAACTTATTATTTCCTATGAGTATTGTTACTTTTTGTTGAAAACTATCTGTAGGATTGTATTTTGGTATTCTAGCAGATTTTTCTTCAAAGTACTGTCATGTTTAATATTACATAGCATGTTGACCTCCTGAGAGTTTTGATATATGTGGAACGAAACCATACTACATTCATTAATAGATATATACTTTCAATTTTGTGTACTGAAATACTGAATTTAATCCAGATCAGTTTCCAAGTTCTAATTTTTACGCCTTTTCCCAGAAATCACAATTCTCATCAGTTACCAGCAGGTGGCAGCCTACCATTAATGGATTTTTGCTGTCATCTTCCAGGTTGTCCTTCACTAACGTTTGAAAAAGGCTGTAGTCTGAAGAAAGGCTTTGTTTTAATTATTTGCATAAAAAAATTATACTCTCAAGGTTTGTGAGTTGCAGAAGTATGCTAGTATTATGGCATGCATTGAACAATGTGGAAATTCTCTTCATTCTTTGGGCCTATTAATTTTTTTTTTTTTTATCACCAGGATAAAGGAAAACCAGTAATGCCCTTAATTGGAAAGTAATGCAAGTGTTCTAATTTAGATGATCTTAAAACTAAAGAGTTACAGAACTCAGTTAAGTCTGTGTACTCTTGCCCCTTATAATGCAAGGAGAATTAGAGCAAAAATTTGTAAATTACTGTTCGTCCCATAATTGAACAGCAATAATGCTGCTGATAAAAACTACAAGTAGGCCTTCCTCCTCCTCTCAAGGGCGTGGGAGTAATGATAATATACTAATATTTCAATGCCTAAAAATCACAAATCAGTGACTACATGGAGACATAGAGTACTTAGTCTTCTTTTGATCTAAGAAACACTGAATGTTGAAGTATTTCTCCTCCCCTCTTGCCCTCCCATTTCCCAACTCTAACTTTAGAATTATTGCCCAAGTAAGTCTAAAGCATGTTAAGCATCTGATGTTTAGTTAGAAAGTAAAGTTGTCACAAGGTTATGATGAGAGCGATTCACTTCTGTTTAAACAGCGTGCAACCTCTACCCCTACCACTCTACCCTCCTGGGAATCCTTATCACATATTTGTCCTAAAAACATTATCCACCTGCCCTGTGCTTTATAGTATCAGCAATGTATCTTTTTATCTTGTGGATGATGTGCCTTTATATTTTGAGAAAAATTTCCAGTAACAGATTCGATACATGGACAGAAACTTGAGCAAATGCCAAACTAGCAGGGGGGCCATTATTCTGCTCTATAAATAAGTTTAAAAAAGAAAAAAACACACACACAGAAACCTGTGAATCAACATGTTTTGGTCTAATTGAGGGGAAAAGCAAGATAGATAAATTTTGAAATGCAAATGATCACCTTCTGTTATTTAAGTATAGTTTCTCTCAACTTTACAATCTTAGATTTTAAAAAGTCATAGTCATTTCAGCAAGGATGTCCAATAGTCACAAGTTTCTATTATAAAACGAAGAACTTTAAAAACAAATTGCCACTTTTTTATATTAAAGAAAATAAATCCAACAACAAAAAGACAAAAACCATCGAGCGTTCTCTGTCTACATCTGTGAAAAAGCCAGCAAATAAATGGCTGCAGCTGCAGGCCCATCAAGAGGGTCTTGAGAATACGAATTCACTGATCAAACCCAGCCCTGTTTTCAAAGTAGAAGCCATTCCTTTTAGGTTCACTTTGTATCCTTGGATTATCTAGGACAATTCTCTAGAAAGGTTTTATTTTAAATAAACATCGTTCATGGTAAATGGGTTCCTTTCATACCAGAGATATAGAACGGAGTTCAGGAAGAGAAAGAGCAAAGAAATAGTCCCTAAAGTAGGAATAGATCGTGTAGCATGACGATATAATGTATAACAGAGTCTAGTTTCCATATTAGGAGACTTTTAGACAGATTCTCTTATTTTTTTTTATTGTGATTATAGAACAAAAACAGGAGTAAATTTGTTGTTCTTCTCCAGAGGACTTCCTTGTAGTTACTCTGATTTTATTTCTATTTGTGTACACAGGCACACGCACTAAAAGGATTTTATGTGTTTTATCATCGGAACTATTTATCATAATATAGAATAAAATTTTGTTTATAGCACTTTCAAGGAAAACTAAAATGTCAAAGTAGTTTTTATTATATCAGTATTTTTTTAGCAGTCTACTCAGAAAAGCAGCCAGAAAATAGAACTGATAATATTAGGCATATAAAATACAGAAGACTGTATTTAAAAGTTTAATATGCAACCTAAGACAAGTACAATTGTCTGTGTGTTAGTTATTATGCAGATATCATCAGTTAAGTTTCCCTGACTAGTCTTAAGAAGTCGAGATGGTATCCTGTCAATGCGTGTCCTTCACCTTTATTTTCCACCCCATTGTAAGCCTTTATAAATGCTTGAAATTTACATTGCTATTTCTCACTGAATACTTTTCAGACCTGAAAATATATAGGTGAATATGTGTGTAAATTGAAGAAGTCCGAAATGCTCTTTACTGCAGCCCAATCTCCACGCTCCCACATGTCAAATGACAGCTTTGCTTCTTCTCTTAGGCAGTTTCACACTTGGAAACGGCTCACAGCTGACGGGCGAAGTGAAACATAGAAAAGTCATGCTGAAAACTCTCTGTAAAATTCCATTTGAGAGCATGAGATTTATTTACTACCATCCTTTGCTCTTCTAGCCTGACTTTATCACATAGTTCATGAATATATTTTTCGAGAGTAGTCTCTCCTGCCCTTTTCCATAAACATGTTTTACACACAATTTGTTATTTTTTAAGCATGATGCTCTGTGTAATAGTGATGTATTTGATAATTAGATATAGGACTCAGACCGTGGGTGGTTTAAAATACCATGAGGTCGTCATAATTTTAAAATTTAGAATACTGAGATGGAATTGAAAATTACCAAACCTCCGTATTTGTCCCATATCAGTCATTAACTCAGCACGACCGTGTGCAAGTTATTTAAGACTGGCTAGTCCTTAATTTATCAGTAGTAAAATAGATTTGTTGAGTATAAAAAAGATCAAAGATGTTGGATCATCATTAGACAAAATTTTATACAAATTAGTCAAAATTCAAGTTCATCTTATGAAGGCAAGAATTTTCTCCCAAGTATAAATATTGATTTCTTGTCTAGGGTTAAAAGGATTATTTTACTTGGAGGACTTTCTAAGTATCTATTTTTACTCACTTAGAGAGTTTGTACACAAAGTATATAATGTAGAAATGAGGGCTTTATGGAAAAAATTTTTATTTAGAGGAAAAAAACCAAGACAGCTTTTGAGTAAGGTGAAGTTTGAATATCAAGATTTTCAGCAAACAGAATTGTTTAAAGAAGAATCATTTAGGTCTGAGAATTTTGGGTTCCTGGGTAACTTTATCAAGCATAAGGAATCTAATTTTAGGAATGCAAAGTTGATAGAGAAAGCAAACAAATACAGACATATATTTTGAAATAATAATGACATAACCAGGAAATACGGCTATATCCCTGGTGTAGTCTTTATATATATATTTTTCTGCCTAAAGGAGCAAGAAGAAAAAGGCAAGAGGAGCTTTAGAAATAATTTTAAAAGAGTAAAATATTTGTGGTTAATATTTAAACATTATGTTTCAAACAGTAACTCTTTTGTTTGATTTACCCTTAAGCAAAACTTCAGCAGTAACGCTCTTGTACATAGTAAATGTTTTAATGTTTTCTTTGAATGATTAGCAAGTACTTTTAATCTTTTGCCTTCAGTCGCTATTGTCACAAAAACGATCTACATCTTCAAGAGAGAACCAGTAACTTTTCAAGTTTATGATAGAATAGTGAAAATCTTACATTGAGGAGAATTGTCTGGTGTAGTCCCTGTGATTGAAGAGGCTTGTGCCCTAAGTATAGGGCCACATCAGGTCTTCCCTTGTCTAGGCAAGGCCCTTCTGATGGAGCAAAAATTAAGGAATTGCTGTATATAGGCTCGAGGGTCTGGAACCTCGGGGTCCATCCTTAGGTATGATGTATCCTGGAACCTGCACATAATACAGGTGACGGGCCAGTCACTTTCATCTCTGCATTACGGTCGTTCCATATTGAAACATACCTATTCTAAAATCATACCTGTCATCAGGCCAAAATGTGATTTTCTGTAGTGATGGGAATGAGACCGAGAAATAGCAAAGCATTCAGTTTCTGTTATTTGGCACCTCAGTGAGTAACACATTAGCCCTCTCAAGAGAAAAAATTCTTCAGCTGTGAGAAGTAGTGAAAAAATTGATACTGTATTTCACCTCTTTCGTATGAAAACATTGTCTTTGTGTATTTCATAATGCTACCTGATATTGGAGAGTGTGAGATTTACCTCAAGCCTTAAATTATTAAAAGGAAGTTAATTTTCACTTCTCATTTACTCTAGACTCTTTTCTTTATGGTTTTAAACATTTTTTTTAGAAGGGGAACAGCAGACTAGATACTTGTAGTTTTAAGTGATAGCTGCAGTGTAATGCTTCTTAATTTTCAAGTCTAAATTGATATTTTGGCAACTCTTCAGTTAATTGTTCTCACTAACATATTATAAAGAAGAAAGTGAACTA